AGCAAGCTTCTGTAGCCAGCCCAGCATATCAGTGGCTCACACCTTTAATCCCAGCACTCAGAAGGAAGGCAGAGGCAGGTGAATCTCTGAGTTCAAGTCCAGCCTGGTCTACATAATGAATTTCAGGACAGCCAGGGCTACACAGAGAAACCCTCTCTCAAAAAAAAAAAAAAAAAAAAAAAAAAAAAAAAACAGAAAACAAATGAAAAATACAAACACTGGTGACTTCAGGTTCAGCAAAGTTTTCTTACTGATCAAAAGCCAAAGAAAGAGTTTGTCATCAAGTCAAAGATTCATGGAGGAGGATAGAGAGACACCTCAGCAGTCGACAGCATGCATTGTTCTTGCATAGGACCTAAGTCCAGCTCCCAGCACCCATATTGGGCAGCTCAGGGGGATATGAACCCTGTTCTGGTCTCCAAGGGTACCCTCCCACAGGTACACACACACACACACACACACACACACACACACACACGATACACACTAAAATAAATAGACAAAAATGTAATATCTCTTTGTGTTTTGTCTCCCTGTTGTAGAGGCTAGAAGAGGGAGTGGGATTCCGTGAGATGGGAGCTACGGAGAGTTGTGAACCTCGATGTGGATGCTGACAGCTGATCCCACGTCCTCTGGAAGAGCAACCAGTGCTCTCATTAACTGGGCCATCTCTCCAGCCCCCAAAATTGATCTTTAAAAAAAAAAAAACTTTTGTGCTTCAAGGGGCATCTTCAAGAGAGTAGAAAAGAAAGCCAGACGTGGGAACATGCTTATTAATCTCAGCACTCAGGAGATGGAGGCAAGAAGATCAGGAACCTAAGGCCAGCCTGGGCTACATGAGATGCAGTGCCAAGGATAGAGAGAGCCCACAGAATGAGACAGAATATTTGCAAGTTATGTAATGAATGAGGGACTCGCAATGAAGTGTTGCTTCTGAAAGGCTGTTGAGAGGTGATTAGTGATTATAGTATGTATATATGCATACATGTCTGTATATGTGTAGGTGTGAGCCCTCTATATTATGTATGTTTATATTATATACATCATATGCTATATAAAGGACTTTTTTTTTCAGGAGACAGGGTTTTTCTGTGTAGTTTTGGAGCTTGTCCTAGATTTGTAGACCAGGCTGGCCTTGAACTCACAGAGATCCACCTGCCTCTGCCTCCCAAGTGCTGGGATTAAAGGTGTGTGCCGTCAAAGCCTGGCATAAAGGACTCTTAAAACCAAATAATCAGGGTCAAAAGATGGTTTAATGGGTAAAGGAGCTTGTCACCATGGCTGATGATCTGAGTTCAATCCCTGGGATCCACATCATAGGAAGAGAGAATAGATTCCTATTTTCTGACTTCCACATACGTGCTGAGGCATAAATATTTACACACACACACACACACACACACACAGAGAGAGAGAGAGAGAGAGAAACTAAAACTGTGATAAAAAAACATAAATAACCCAAACCAAAATACAAATAAGCCTATTAAAGCTGCTGAAATGGAGAAACTGAATCTTTAACTCCTACCTATCACCAAAGGACATATAAAAGTTTGTCACTTCTTCATGTTAAAGTACAGTTGGTGGGTCATGTGAGTGCCCTCCTTGCTCCTGTAAGAGATACACCTTAGCATTATGGTCTGGTAGCAGGTCCCTACAGTGGTGGTAGATGCATTAATTACTATTGCTGTGATGAAATATCCAACAGAAAAAAAATGTTTTTGGAATCTTTTGGCTCAGGTTTCCAGTTGTTTCAGTTCATCACAGAGAAGCAAGAGGATGAGAGGCTCTGTCTGCGGTAACAAGAGCCAGGCTTGTTCACTGTGGCACAGGCTATAGGTCAGAACCTATACTCCTGCCAGCCAGACCTTGGATTCTAAAGACTCCACAGCGTTCAAAATAAGGCCACAAGCAGGGGACCAAGTGTTCAAAGCACAAGCCCGTCCAGGACGCTCCAAATTTGAACCACAGGTATTGGGAAATGTAGGGCAGCTCCTCACCCACTCAACCCAGCCATCCTTTATCACCTGCTGTGGCTTCAAGTGGGACAGTTTACCCCTTCTCCCCAAAGTCCCTTCTGCTTTCTTCTTATCTAGAGAAGCAAGGTCCTGAGAACCCCATGCTAGGCTTGGGGTCCCTGTATGTGATACATATGCCTCCTGCCTGGGCACCGTAGCCATGACACTAAGACCCATGTAAGAAGCAACTGCTCTGCACTCACACTGAACTTCATATGTGCATGCCCCACATACATGTGTATTCTCCATGTACATGCGCATGCACACCAAACCCCAGGCACCACTGTGTGCAGCCACATATGGGTTCAAACATGAGTGTAGTCCCATACTGGAGCCATGTGTGTACAAGCATGTATGGGCCACTGCCACAATACTATGATGCTTTGAAATGACCTGTTGCCTGCTGAGAAGCTGATGAGAGGTGATCAGATCCTGGGCTGGGAACTAATTAACAGACTTGACAGAGTCATAATATCATCGTGTTTTTTTTTAAGAGACAGGGCCTAGTTGGGGAAAGGGAGTAGGAACATGTATGAGGCATGCCCTGAAAAGCTATCTTTCATCCCTGGCCCCTTTCTGTTGCTTCCTCTGCTTCCTGGTTGCAGTGAAGTAAGAAGCCATTTGTAAGGCATTCCAACCACTTCGTGACTGACTTGCCTGAGGCAATGAGACATGTAACTATGGGCTGAGCTCTCTGAAACCATGAGCTAAAATAGATCTTTCTTCTTCAAACTGTTTGTATAGGGCACATTGTCATAGCAAAACAAAAACAAACAAAAAACTCTAAAAACAAAACAAACAAAAAACCCCAAACCAACAAAATACACATGTGTTACCTGTACACAGTCATGTGGGAAGACATGTATACACTAGCATTTGTATTGCTGCATGTGCATCTCATTTCCATGAATACACAGGATGGACCACATGTACGTGCACTATAAGCCATTTTTGGTAAACCATGAAACTCTTGGGATCCTAATTTCCCCGGTATACAGCAGTGACTCTTCCTGTGGGTCCTGTGATAACTGTGTAATTAGCCTGACTCGAAGCTCTGAAGTTGCAAGCTGCAATTACTTTCCCATTTTATAGATAGGGACGCTGACACTCCTGGGAGCAAGCTGGAGAGACAACCGATGGTGGGTCATGATGTTGGGGGAAAGGGGTCAGAGGAAGCACAGGGTCAGGGCTAGGGTCATAATGCCATTATATGAGGTTCACAGCTGGCTTGAGAATGGAGGCTGATGGAACTCAGCGGAACCACCCTGACAGCAGACTGCCAGAAGTGAAAGGCAGAGGACCAGACTTCAGGGGACAGAGGAACTGTACCCCAAAGGCCCCTGGCACCGTTGTCTGCTTTGACCTGAATGGAAGAAAGAATTTAAATACCTTCAAGGTCACAGGGAGATTGCCACAGGTGCCCAGTCCCAGCCCCCTCTCCACAATGCTGTTCTCCTTGAGGATAGTGTCAAGTGTCCGTGATCCCAAGCCTGAATTGCAAAGCCCTGATTGCTGTTCCATTCTGTACCTCAAGTGTGGGAACAGCCAACAGATGCACAGGGCTGGGAGATCACAAAGGGGATGAGTGCACTTTTCCCCCTGAAACACGCACCTGAGGGTGGGTGGCTCACAAACCACAAGCATCCATTGCTCATAGTTTTGGCCTGCCTACTCCACTTTGCTTCCACAGGGAAATCATGCCCTGGGCATCAGATTTAGGTCAGTTAAAATGCATTCTATATATTATGAAAATGTCCTCTTGCTAGGCAGTGGTGGCACATGCCTTTAATCCCAGCACTTGGCAGGCAGAGGCAGGTGAATCTCTGTAAGTTCAAGGCCAGCTTGGTCTACAGAGCAAATTCCAGGACAAGCTCCCAAGCTACAGAGAAACCATGTCTAAAAAAAAAAAGAAAGAAAGAAAAATGAAAAGAAAGACATGTCCTATATACTCATATGCCTATAGAATAAAGGAAAAAGAAACAAAATTCAGAGATAGCATCACCCTATACATTTAAAAATTTTTACATAAGATTCTAAAGTGTACACATACACACACCATATAATGGAATAGTATTCAGCCATTAAAAGGGATGAAGCATTGATGTGTGTGGCAACATAAGCAAACTTTGTAAATCTCACTCTCAGTGAAAGGAGCCAGCTACAAAGGGCCACAGAGTGCATAATTACACAGAGAGGAAATGTCCAGAATAAGAAAACCACAGGGGTAGGAAGCAAACCAGTGGTTGCCAGGGGCACCACGTAATGGGTTTGGGGTTTCCTTTTGAGATGATGAAAATATTTTGGAATTAGAAGTGGTGGTGGCGCAATTCTGTGGGTGTGCTAAGTGTGCTGAGATTGTATGTTCTAAAATGATTTAAATTATATGATGTTCCCGTCTTTTTTTTTTAAGGCATGAAAGCTCTCATTTGGTGTGTGTTCTCTCTCTTCTGTGCCAGTTTCTCCTCCATGCCTTTGTTTCCCCTTCTCTTTGTCTCTCTGATGCTGCCTCTCTGTCTCTGTCCCAAGTCCCAGAGGCCACAGAAAGCAGTCTTTGCCCCGTTCAGCACCCTGCACCTGGTTCTGAGCCAGCCTCACACGGATCTACATGTGGATGGGATGCACAGGGAAGCGGAGCCAGCCCAGTCCCTGACCCCTGGCAGCAGGAGGTCAGCACATGGTAATTATTGCCTTAACCACTACACTTTAGGATAATTCGCTCTTTGCCAGCAGCTAACCATCACCCAGCTCTCCTGCTGTTTTCTCCTTTCCAAACCAGCACAGGGGCCCAAGCCCTGCTGGCTGGCATACCTCCCCAACACTCTATAAGCCTCTTCCCACCCCATTTCCCCACTCCCACCCCGCCCCCAGAGGCCCTTCTGAAGCATTGATTGGGAGGAGGGAGAGGAGGAGGGAGGAAGCCCAGCCAGGTAGAGTTTGGAAGGCCTTGTATGCCCACATAGAGATGATCCTAACCACCCACATTACCTTTGTCCAGAACAGGGCCAAAGATTGCCAGGCTGTTGCTGACAGTGGTACAGTTCCAACGCCGGCCTCGGAACTGGTGCTGGCACTCCTGGATGCCAGCCTTGACACCTTCAGCCACGCTGGGCATGATCTCTACATAGTTCCTGCAGAAGCGCAGCTGCTTGGGCACCAGGCCTGGGATGCTGGCACAGAGGATGGGCTGAGTGCTCAGAGAGGAGTACTGAGGTCCCACAGCCAAAGACCTGGTGGGAAGACAAGGAGGTTAGAGACCATCTCTGAAGACAGACACTTTGCTATGTACATGTGCTGGGCCTGTTACTGCTTCTGCCATGAAGGACATGTAGAGAAAGGATGCTGTTGACCATGTACCTAAGATGAGATTAGATGTCAAATTGTCACAATTGACTGTGTGCAAAAACCAGCCCAGCATCTTGCTCTGTAGAAGTTCAGGGACTCTTAGCCTGTGGCTCAGACTTCTGAGGGCACTGCAACCTTTGGTCTCCACATTCACACACATACACATATACACTGCAGGCACACAAACATGTATACAAGCGCACATAGGCACACAGCACAGGCAAACACAGTAGATATTAAGATCTTTCGTATGAAATTGCATGGTATTTGCACTTAGCCTACACACCCTTCCGTACATGCCAAACCTAGATGACAATGATACCAACACAGCAGAGTGTCACACTATACTTTAGGGAGTGCCCATGCAGGAAGTCCATGCAGGTTCAGCAAACATGCAGTGATTTCTCCAAATATTTTCTTTTTTGTCCTGTTTTTGTTAGTTTGTTTTTTATTTTGTTTTGTTGCTTATTTGTTTTGGTTTTCAAGACAGGGTTTCTCTGTATAGGCTTAGCTGTCCTGGAACTCTCTGTAGATCAGGCTGGCCTCAGACTCACAGAGACCCACCTGCCTCTGCCTCCCCAGTGCTGGGATTAAAGCTGTGGGCCACCATACCCAGCTATCATCATTGTTTTTAGAAACACTCATTCTGTAGCTGGGGCTAGCCTGGGACTGGCTTTGTAGTCCAGGTTTGAACTTAATGATCCTTGGACTCCTTTTGCTGGAATCACAGGCATCACCACAGCCAGCTTTTCTGAACCACAACTTAAAAGAAAAACTGGTTAAGTCCTCAGGGACTGATCATGAGGGAAGAATAGTCTTCCCAGGACACAAATGATGCTTACATCCCATCAAGCACCTCTAGTCCCAACTCAACAGTCTCCAGGTCCCCAACACATGACATGCATTCCTGGGCTCTACTCCCCATAGAGCTGGTCTCTCCTATCTCCAGAAACACTCAAGAAACCTGTGTCACACACTGCCACATTCCTGGCCTTAGTACAGTCTGTATCCCTGTGTGCACCCCATGACAGGGAGGGCCTGCTCTTTGCTCCTTCCTCCTTTCTCTCTTTGGGATGGATAAGGCCAGTGGGCTGGGTGGGTAGGTTTTTTACATGCACACCTGCTTATGATAGGCCCACGCTCATAGGAAGGTCAGCCCTGGGGCCGGCTGGGGACTGTATCTGCTCTCAGTAGCTGTGAGTCGTTCCTCTCCAGGCCCCTGGCCTTCCTCTGTATTTAGTCTGGCTCAAGGACCCTTTTACCCAGCTGCAGTGGAATCGGCTTGCATTCTCCTCTCAGGTGCAGACCACTTTGGCTGTCTGCTCCTGCTGGCACTAGATGAACCATATGGGCACCTTTGAGTATGGGGTGAGTGGACACTTGGCAAAAAATGAAGAGATCACTGTCCAAGGTCCTGGCTTGAGGGCAGAGATGCCGGTATATGGAGAGGATTGGGATCTGTGCTACTTGTCCTCAAGGATGGAAGAGAGGAAGGGCCTGGTCAGGTTCAGGAAGGCCCTGGTCAGGTTCCCAGATGAGAGAGAGAGAGAGAGAGAGAGAGAGAGAGAGAGAGAGAGAGAGAGAGAGAGAGAGAGAGAGAGAGAGAGAGAGAGAGAGAGAGACTAAACCAAGGCAGAAAGCTACATCTGTGCCTTGTTACCATGGTGCTTTTGGCTGACCACTTTAAAACCAGAAGGTCCCAACATGTCTTGTCAGGCCATCTGCTTTCCTATTATAGTGGATTTGGAAGAACTTTGTTTCTCCTTCCAACATTCCTTAGCTCTTCTCTGCACCCTCCCACCACCCACTGCACCCACACCTACCCTGAGACTCTCCCACCTGTGAGAAAGCAGAATTTCCCCTTGGCCTGGGCAATGCTTTTCCTTCTTTTTCTCCTTCCTTCCTACCTTTCTTTTTCTTTCTTTCTTTGTTTGTTTGTTTGTTTTTGAGACAGGGTCTCTCTACAGATCCCTGGCTGTCTTGGAACTCACTATGTAGATCAGGCTGGCCTAAAACCCACAGAGAACAACCTGCCTCTGTCTCCTGAGTGCTGTTTCTTCCTTTCTTCTTATTTAAAGCATTATTTTATTTTATGGTATCGGTGTTTTGCCTGTGTGTTTATGCACCACCACACTTGTTTCTACAGTGCAGGGGATCACTACTACAGTGCAGGACTTCATACGTGCTAGGCATTCATCCTACCCACTGAGCTACATCTATGGCTCCCAGAGAAAGGGTAAAGGCATCTACCTATCTATCCAAAAGAGGAACAATCTTCATGCTAAGATACTGTTAACGAGGAGTCTTAGAGTTCTTAAACAGCAGAAAATGAGAACCTGGCTATGTCTGTCTTCACAATAAGAAATGTCCAGGGCCAGTGGCCAGTTCCCAAGAGTGGATGACCTCCTTTATTAGTTGCCAGAAGCCAGAGCCCATCCTGGGTGCTGATGATGTAGGGTTGGGAGACTGTGCTAACGAACAGGATGCTGCAGAGGCTGCAGAGGCGCATAGCAGTGAGGCTGCTGTGGGTGGCATGAGTTGTTAGGCCTTAGTTCCCTTCTCAGCCCAGGGAAGGCAGAGAGAGGATTCCCAGGTGGAGGGCTGTTCCTAGGCCCCTTCCTGGGGATATTGAGTCAGCCTGCTCTGTCTTCCCTCCTCTGGGCAGGTCCCTGCTCAACACCTCCCCGAGGAGGCCAGAGTGTGGGCAGCTTCAGCAGGGTCCTCCTGCTCTAGATCATGGATTTAGGGAGGTGGAAGAGCACCTTCTCTGGACTCAAGGGCCCCTGAGGTCCCTTTAATCACATCCTGGATCATTTCTCTTTCCCTGAGAGCCAGACCATGAGGAAAGCCCAGGCATGGAAGCCTTATGGGAGGAATGCTGAGGGCTGGGCACAAGGTACCTATTATGATGGAGAAGGCAGGGCAGGGTCAAGGAGGGTCATTCAGCATCTGGATTTCAACTGGGCTGAAATGGTCAATATAGCTTTGTTTTATTTGTTTAATTGCTTCTCTCCTCCCTCCCTCACCCCTCTCTTTGTCTGTCTGTCTTTCTTCCTTCCTTTCTCTCCCTCTCTTTTGTTGGTTTTTTGAGACAGGGTTTCTCTGTGTAGCTTTGAGCCTAACCTGGAACTCGCTCCATAGACCAGGATGGCCTCAAACTCACAGAGATCCACCTGCCTCTGCCTCTTAAATACTGGGATTAAGGACAGCTGTACAAAGTTAAACATTGATTTACTGATTTATTTTTCTTTATGTTTTTGAGACAAGGTATCATGTAATCCACACTAGTCTCTAACTCCAAGGATGACCTTGACCTTCTCCAATACTATTTCAAGTGTCGAAACAGACATTTGGCTAGCTTACCATTTTTTGATCATCTTTCTCTTCTTTCTCCTTCTTGGCTAATGAGACTTGCTGTCCCTGCCAGGCAACCACTGTCAAGCAACAAGCTTTTTCTAGGTAGCCCAGGCTAGCCTCAAATGCATGCTTCTCTAGGCTCAGACTCCCTAGTCTCGGATCCCAAGTGCATACCGCAACACCTGATTTACTCTTTCTTAACACCACCATGAAAGGAAACTGACTACAACCTAAATGCTAAAAGCTAAGAGCTCTTTGTACTGTCATGGAGACACATTCCAAGGTGGGGGAGATACTTCAGTGGATGTAGGTGACTACTGCCATGTCTGACAAACTTCAGTTTCATAAGTAGATTCCACACCATGAAAAGAGAGAATCGATTCCTGAAGTTGTCCTTCAAATCCCTCACCCCCATTACCATGCTGTGGTATATGCACAAGTAGACACACACAATCAATACATAAGATATAATAAAAATTAAGAACTAAAAGAAGTAGCCCAGAAGGAAAGTGGAGACAATACAGCCATGAGGAACCAAACCAACTGAGTTACAGGAAGGAGAGCAAGTTTGTATTTTGTAGGGTTCATACTATGGTGTGCACTAGATGTCTGCATACTATAAACAGCATCTGTAATTTCTTCTCCAGCTATCATCACCCACCATGAAGGTAATGACCTTCCTTTCATGATGATAGAAACTGTGGCTGTAACAGCAATGTGTAACCTCCTTTCATAATCGAAGGTGAGGTCCCACTGCAATTAGCAGAGCTGGGAATGAGAATTCCGACTGGAGAGATGACAGCCAGTTAAGAGCACTAGTTGCTCTTCCAGAGGACTCAGGTTCAATTTTCAGCACCCACATGGCAACTCACAACTGTCTGTAACTCCAGTTCCAAGGGATCTGACACCCTCACACAATGCACATAAAATAAAGTTAAATAAATTATAAAAAAAAATTTCCATTTCTCATCTCATTTGGACCATAGGTTTGGACCATGGACATGGGAGCCCACTTAATACCCAGAGGCTGCACTAGAATATGATACCTGATCTCTACCACTATATGCTGAGAAATTGGACCACTCTATACCCAGTAGAGGCAGATACTCACTAGGACAAATAGTTTCCTGCTTTGATCCCCCATTTTCAGAGCCTCTATAAGCCCTGAATCTGAAAGCACCTCAAACTCTGAGGTGTCCCCATAGTTCTGAGGTCCAGAGCTATGCCCAGAACCTCCTATCGGGACTTTGGAGGTATTCACTGAGATCTGGAGGTCTATGTTTGCCTAATTACGAGTGCTTTTAGAAGTTGGGTCTGAAGCATGGAGTTTGCCTCGAACTTCTGGCTCTGAGGCTGAGGCGTCGTGTTCCAAGACCACAGAAGGGCTGTCAGGAGTTTCCCCAAGCCACCGCCAGCCAATCCTGGAGAACCCAGTCCTAAAAACACACAAAATGACCCTCCACAATATGAGTAAGGTTAGAGTGTCTTCTCCAGTCTGCCTGACACCTGTGAGTTGCAAAAGTTCATT